ACACTAACCTGTGCTGTTCAGTGGAAGGAGTGGCAGGTGTGATCTTTGTGTGTGCGTGCGCACACAGAACTAAGGATGCAAAGATGTACAGTAACTAAAATGTCAGCAGCAAGCTGGTTAGGGTGATGTACACCTGTGGTCCCAGCACTCAGAAGGCTGATACAGGAGGATCACCATGAGTTCCAGGCCAGCCTGGGCTACATAGCGAGACTCTGTCTCAAGAACAAAACAAAACAAACAAAAATGTCAACAGCAGTTGCCATGTTCGCTTTCGTGTTTATTTTCTTCTGTGTCTTATTTACACTTTCTTGGTTTTAGTGGACCTTAAGTGTAGACAGGGCTCATCAAGGAGGCTGCTGCTGCGGTGGGTCAGAAACTGTTCCAAGCAGCCCTGCTGTGGGGCGCTCAGAGGCTCCTGGTCTCCAGGAGGGTCAGGGACTCTCCTGGACTTTCCTGGTGTGAGGTTCCTTTGAGCAGGGTGTGTGTTATGTGCGTAACCGAGGTGGTGCCGAGCTGCCAGTTGTCGATTAAACACACGGTCGGCATGGCTCAGAAACACACCGTGGAAATCTGTAAAACCCTTCCGTGTTGACGTGCAGTCGACTGCATAGAAAGGCGAAGTTCTGTAGAAGCAGCTCTGAGGAGGCCTGGAGGAGCTGCTCAGAAAGATCGACGTCCAACGAGCTGGCTGGCTCCCGAAGCCCCTGCCCGCGACCCTGTCCTGCATGCCCAGTGGCCCGAGCACTCGCACTAGCGTGGGGCCGAGAGGAAGCGCCTCACTCTCAGCACCTGCCAGGCATGGGAGGATTTCCCGGGCCTCCAGCTGCGGCCCTGGGGTGTCACAGGTGGTTGTCACTCTGCGTTCTCTTTCCAGTGGTGTCGTGAAGATGGGAGGAGTTTGCCCAGAACAGAGGAGGCGTTTAGGAGGTCGGGGCTGTTACTGTTGTTCTGCGTTTATTATAGCATCTGCATTCTTTCTCTAAATGCAAGTATTTTTCTTTTACAAAAATGAGATTGTACTATGCACGTTTTGTATTTTGTTTATTTTTCATTCTGTCCTTTGTCCTAAGTATGGCTTTTCTTTCCTCCTTCCCACCCTCCTGCCCTCCCTTCACTACTTCCTTCCTTTCTTCCCTTTCTAGTACCAGGGACCCAACCTATGGTAGCCAAACACTTTCCCACTGAGCCACAGCCCCAGGGCTGTGTTTAATAACCCTTTGCGTCCAGACATTGAACTTGAACTTAATTATTACATGTTGTGAAACATTGTTCTTTTGACTTTTTTTAATCATTCAAAAATATAAAAGCCACCGTTATTCACAGACTGTGGAGAAGCAGGCAGTGGAGTGGGTTGGATGCTCAGACCATAGTTTGTCAACCCCCATCTCCGTGGTTGTGGTTTTCTCCTGGTGTCACTATCTCCCTGCTCCCTTCCCCTCTGTTGGATCCGTTTTTGAAGCCTCTCTACCTTTTCTCCTAGCTGGCAGGGGCTGAGGTGTTGTCTTAGTTACTTTCCTCGTTGCTGAGACAAAATACCTGATGCCTGAAGTTAAAGGAGGAGAGGTTCAGTTGGCTCGCAGCGTGTAGAGGTTTCAGTCCACAGTGGGCTGGCTCCAAGGCAGGGGGGCATCACAGAGGAGAAACAGTCCAAGGCAAGCAGGCAGGTGCGAGCACACCATCCCTCTTTCTGTCCCTTATATTTTATCCCGGCTACCTGCCCTGGGGAAGGTGTAGCACTTATATCCTGAATCCTGGCCAGAAAGGTGCCAAACTGATCAGCAGACTGATATAGTAATCAATCACACACCCTTGCTCCAGAGTCACTCCCTCTAGACCCAGCCCCTCTGAAGGGCCCACCATCCCTCGTGAGGCTTTGGGGGACATCTAGACACAGCCATCACAGATGCCCTTTGCAGAACCTGGGCTTTGGACACTTGTAGCTCAGCAGGGAAAGCCGGACACATATCTATGAGAACCATTAGAGCAAAGTCTCGAGGTGTCCTTCTTCCCATTTGGTGTCCTGGCAAAGGTGCCATCAAGTTGGCACCTGGGGTCACAGAGTGGCCCTGCAGGTTCTTCCAGTTCTGAGCCGAGCCTGGAGTCTGCGTTTCAGATGATGAGGGGCGCTCATGCCCTGTGCAGTCCCAGCACGAAGTCGGGTCTGAGAGGTGCTCGAATCTTGATCTGGGTCCAGAGCAATGAGTCCTCAGAGGCCAAGGTGGCGCTGTGGCGTGGAGGCGGGAGAATGATGAGTGTGTATGCCGCCTGAGATCGCTGTGCCAGAAGTGAGTGATCCAGTAGATGTGTAATGGGTGTGTGTGGAGGGGACAGGACGAGAGACAGTTCTTGTATTCCCAGCTTAGATCTGGGCAGTGGAGTCCCCTGCTGGTGTGGAGGGGAGACCGAGGCCCCACTGCCTGCATGGTGGCCTTGGCTGGGCTGCCCTGATGGACCAGGGATTTATCTGGTGTTGGCTGTGGGAACAGCTGCGGCCTGGAGCAGCCGGTGAAGGGCAGGGACAGAGGAGGAGGAGAGTCTCTGAGCCTCCTTCACTGCACCTGGAGGCAGGGATAGCAAATACTGGTGTGGTCGGAGCAGAGAGCAGAGCCCATGCGAGGCGGACACCGTGATGTTGATTATCCCCTGCACCCAGCATCCTTTGCGATTTCCCATAGTGCCTCAGTCCCTCATAGCCACCCATTGCTGACTTGGGATGAGCAGCTCACGTGGCCAGGATGCAAAGCCACGGCAGGCAACGTGCGTTTCTGGGTGTGCAGACGGACATCCAAATGGCAGAGAGGACTGAGTAGGTGTGTGAAATAGGACTTAAAAGGCATCCCATTTCCTTAGTAACCCTTAGTAACCAGGGGAATCACAAATGTAACAGGCCCCCTCATCTGTAGGGAGTGTGTTGCCTGAAACCCAAATAGCACCGAACCCTAAGTGGCCAGGTACGCCACACACTCTTCGCTGCAGGGGACCCCCTTTCCCTGCAGAGAAGCACTTGGCCTCAAATATCAGTTGTATTGAGGTTGGGTCCCTGGATGATAGCTCACCAGGAGGATCCAGGAAGCGCCATCGCGTGAGGCTTCAGGAAGGGAACCCGCGGGATTTGGTGAGTTACACCATGGGCACCCCACGCCCGTGGGCCCAGAGCAGCCACCTGCCGCATGGAAGATGATTGTCACAATGGATGCAAACTGTTGCCGGGCAGGGGAGAGTAATTCTAGCTGTCAGTGCCACCAAGGATGGGGAGGCCCTGGGCCCTGAGACCCCACCCACTGGCCGCCTCTCAGGAGTGGTATGGAGTCCCAAACGCACACCACACTGGTCACACAGAAGCTCTGGTATCCACCTTGAAAGATCATTGAAAAAGGGCCATTTGTACTTCTTCCCCCGAGAAGTGTCTGTTCATGACACTTGCCCATTTTCAGACTGGGCCTTTTATTGTGGGGAATCTAATTTTGTCATTTCTTTGTATTTGCTAAATATTAGTCCTCTGAATAGTAGCTAGTAAAAATGTTTTCCCATCCTGTATGTTGTCTCTTCACTCTCATGGTTGTTACCCTTGCCTTGCAAGTCTTCAGGGAAAGAGATACCTGTCCACATTGTTGGTGGGAGTATAAACTAGCACAACTCCGTGGAAATCAGCGGGGAGATTCCCTAAAAAGCTAGAACTAGAGTTAACATTCGACCCAGCTCTTCCTTTTGAAGTATAAAGAGTTGAAGACAGCATGTTACAGCGATGCAGGCACACCTATGTTTACAGCCGCACAATTCATAACAGCTAAATCTTGGAAACAGTCTGTGTGTCTACCAACACATGAATGGATAAAGGAAATTGGTATTTATGCACAATGGGGTACTACCGTGCCACAAAGAAAGGTAAAGTGAGTCATCTTTAGAAATATGGATGCACCTTGAGGCCATAGTGTTAAGTGAACTACATCAGACGCATGATCTTAAATATCACATGGTTTCTCTTATATGTGAGTTTGAGAAACCCAAAGTATAAATAAAGAACAAACTGAAAGATAGATAATAGGAAATAGGGAGCTATATCTTTTACAAAAAGGAAGGAGGTTAAGAGATGGAGAGAGAGCAGGGAGGGGAGGAGATGGGGTAAAAAGAACTAAAATGTGTTCTGTACGTGGACCAACTCCACACAAGGAATATAATCATTATGTACTGCAGACACACTGATATCAAGTAAAAAGTGGAAAGGAAAGCAGCAAAAAGAATGGATGAAACCATTGGAGTAGTATAATTAAATTCAAAAGACCTGAATCTTTCATTTTAACATGTAGTCAATAGATCTAAAATACTACCACTCAGTGTATTCAATAGATTAATAGGTCTGAAATTTGATAGATCTAAAATACAGTGGACCTTCCAGTTACGACCAGCCTGACATACAAACAACTTGGGTTTGGACTGGGATTTTAGTTTTAACTTACAACCAAGGTCTTAAGTTACATCCTGAATGCCGGCTGCTTGTGCTTCCAGATGGCCTCAGGTGCGGACTTCACTCCTCAAGAGTCCTGGAAGGAGCAGGACACATGCTCTCCTGTGTGGGGTTCACTGAGAAATCCTGGGCCAGGGTCCCTCTAAGGACACTGAGCCTCCCTTGACCAATCTGAGTTACAACCAGCCCTGGGGAATGAGTTGAGTCCGTAAGCCAAGGGTCCGCTCTACTGTCATTTGAACATGTGATCCATATAAAAATATTAACGGGATAGTTTAATCCTCTCTTCGGCAACAAGCCTTTGGAATTGCTGTGTTTTCTCCTCACCACAGGTCTGAGGGAGGACTTTTGTGTTCCAGGTGCCTGGTGGCCACATGTGGCTGGCGGCTGTGGTGTGGGCCGTGGGGTGTGCGCTCCTGTCGTGAGGGACCCCCGTTTTCTGGAGGGCCTGCAGTGCTGGACAGGACTGAGCGCTGAGAACCACGGGGTGGGGCTCTGTGTCGCCGGTGCCATGGCCCTCTCTGTCTCTCCGCAGGTGCCTCGTCCCCCGACATGGAGCCCAGCTATGGGGGAGGCCTTTTTGACATGGTGAAGGGAGGTGCGGGGAGGCTCTTTAGCAACTTAAAGGACAACTTGAAAGACACCCTGAAAGACACCTCTTCAAGAGTGATACAATCTGTGTCCAGGTGAGCACGCGGGCTGTGGATCCCAGGCTCTCGGCCAAGGGCTCTGGCTTTTGGCCAGCGCCTGCTGGTGTCATTGTCACTGCTGTGAGAGCCGCTTGGATCTGATGTGCTGGGGCTCTCACTGCCCGCCGAGTCCCCAAGAGGCCGCAGCAGGGCCAGGAGAGCTCAGCTCGCTGGTACTTAGTGTGTGATGGGCACTGCTGTCTCCCATGGCTCCAGAATCAAAGGTCTTGGGTTCTAATCCAGGGTCTGCGCTGGTTCTCCTGTGACTGCGGGCGCGTGTTAACAGTTCTCCAACTTTATGCCCGGTAGGAGTGGAAGGGCAGGCGTGAGGATTGAGTGAGTTAGCACTCAAGCAGCATCTGAGTAAGCAGTGCCCCTGGACTGTCAGCCAAACAGGACTTTGTGTACCCTACTAGTTGTTTAGCGTTTACTTAGTGGGAGAAGTTTATTATTATTTTTCACTTTTCCACTCTATGCAGATTCTTGCAAAAATATGCAAAGTTCTAGGGTTACTTGAAATTTGCATATATGGTTTTGAATCAGAAATTCTTATGTCAAGTTCAATATATTAACCAATGTTTTCATAGTGGCTTAAAGGCAACACTTACCCCCTTTCCTCTAATTCCTAACTGGGACCTTGGTAGGCAGAAAAAGTGCCATTTGTCTTTTTCTCCATTGTTTTTTCTCCTACCCTTCAGGGAAGAGTTTTCCATGTAGGCAGAGAGGCTGGAACAACCTCTGTTGATCACTTAGCAGGGATTCCATTCCCAGCCAGACTCTGTTTAAGGAGCGGCCCTGGGAGGCTGCCCGAGCTGGAGTGGGACAGCTGTGCCCCTGAGGCGGGGCTGTCTTCTCTCAGGGACGCTCAGAGGTGTCTCTTGTGGACAGAGGGGTGGAGGAAGGTCAAACTCGCTGCCGGACAGCAGTGGCCCAGTCCACAGTGAGCCAGTGATCTCGATGGACTCCTGGGGTGTGGACCATCTTAGCGAGTGCCTTTTCCTGTCTCACTTGTAGCTACACGAAGGGAGATTTAGACTTCACTTACGTCACCTCCAGAATCATTGGTAAGCCTCTCGTGGTTACTGACTTCTCTTTGCCCCGTTTCTAAATGCTGCTCGTGGGACTCACAGTTCTGCCTCACCTGTTGCCCGTTCTTCCAGTCATGTCCCTGCCCATGGACAGCGTTGACATAGGGTTCAGGAATCAGGTGGACGACATCCGGAGCTTTTTGGATTCCAGACATCTTGACCACTACACGGTCTACAACCTGTCACCCAAGTCTTATCGGACCGCCAGGTTTCACAGCCGGGTAAGTGTTTCCGCTCTGGAATGTGTTGTTAAGACGCCTCAGGGTCTTTTCCCCCTTCTGAGGTACCTCAGAGCCGACAACCCCAGACCCCGGACTGCCCTGTCCCCGCGGTCTTGGGTGGCTGGGGTACTGTGCAGGTCTGCGTGGGGAGGGCAGACGCTGTCAGCACTGTGGTCTGGCTGAGCGAGACGTTGCGGAGGCTGGGCTCCGGTCGCTCCTGAGGCCGGTGTGGAGATCGGCCGTGGCCCAGCCAGCGGCTTCACTACACTGCGACGCCAAGTGTGTCCTTGACTTTCCACGTGGCTTCGTTGGGCGTCAAGGTGAGGCAGTGTGTGCCCCTCACAGCAGTCAGAGGTACTTCTTCAGAGGGGGACACTGCAGATAGGTAAGTTCATTAGAGATCTTGTGGGCAGGCAGGCGGGGCCGTCCGCAAGGAGCCAACGTGGAGGTGGAGGGTAATTGAGACACATTCACTGTGGCCAGAACTGTAAACGGAGAGAAACTACTACACCCTGGGATAGAGAGAAGTGATTGATATTCTAAACAGGTTCAATCACCTGGGTGGGGGGGCCAAGGTCTCAGCCCAGGCTTCCCAGGAACTATCCCTGATCCCTGCTCTTACTGAAAGTCCTTGTATGCTTGCTTGCTACGTGAGTTGTTCCCCCATTGAACCCCCATGTAATCAGTACTACCTGGGTGACTCTACTTGTAATCTTATTGGTTCGTCATGGTTTTGCCCCACCCCATGCCCGCCTTGTAATTTTCCACTGGGTCTTACAGTTTTGTCCCACTTTGTACCCGCCTCCCCACATGGCTTGGCTGTATAAAACATCTCTGGGGAGCGGGGTGAATGGGCAGCCCACTTTCCAGTCCCCCTTCTGTCTCTGTTAGACAGAAGCTTTCTTTTCCTCGATACAATTTTCCTACTCTTAAAAAAAAAAAAAATGCTGGACCAGGGCAGGCGCACCCTGCTACTGAACTGTTCTCCTGGTGACCGTATGGGAAGAGTGACTTCGGCCGTGTAATTTATCCATACCCCTAGCAATAACACACTAACAGCAGGGGTCAGCATTTATACAGTGTGGCATTGTTCTGAGAACTTCACACCCTGGAGTTAGGACTTTCCTGATATACGAACAACTAGGGTTATGACTGGAATGTTAGTTTTAACTTACAACCAGAGCCTTGAGTTATGACCCAAATGCTGGCCTCCTGTGCTTCCAGATGGTCTCTTTAACCTCTAAAGAGCTCTGGGAGGAGCAGGACAGCATCCTCTCCTGTAGGGTTCACTGGGAAATCCTGGGCTGGGTTTTCTCTAAGGACACTGAGCTCTGCCTGTGTGCAGGAGAGAGACTCTGAAGGCTGTGTAGAGGAGCCTGCACTGACAACCCTGAGTTACAACCAGCCCTTGGGATGGATGAATTCGTAAGTCAGGATCCATTGTAATCCAACATCCTCAGAAGTAGGGGAGAAGCTGAGGCACAAAACCATAAGGTAACTGGCCCAAGAGCACACAGCTAGCCGATGGCTTAAGGCTGTGTTCTCAGACATTGCCCTGACCTGACGACGTCACTTGGAGAAGCTGGATTCCCCCTTTGGAGAACATCTCCACTTTCAGGCTGGGTAAGGAACTGTGGGTGCGGACTTAGGTTAGAATGTCCTGCTGAGCCTTCTGGCCCCTGACTTCTTGCTGCACTTACTAAACAAGGCTTTTTCTCTCTTAAGAACATCTTTAAATACTTCTGATTTAGCTTGTACATACAGCCAGTCTTGGAACTTTAAATGGGTCTGTGGACACACAGGGACGGCTGTCTCCAGAGGGACCCTCAAGTGAACCTGGCCCAGTGTTGGTACCCAGGTCCCCGGCGCTACTGCTGGAGCACACTTTGCTCTAAATTCCAATGCTGTTGGTCCTGCCTGGACTGCAGTTTCCACATCTGCGAAACACACCAGAGGGTGCTCTCCTGCACGAGGCCCTCCCTGGCCTAATAATGATAATAAAATAATGAAAATACAGGGCTGTCTCGCTGACGGCTGCCTTTTAGCAAGTCCGTGGAAGGACCTCACGCTCTGGCGGTGTCAGCATCACTCGCAGCCCTTGTTGGACGGACTTCCGGCCCAGTAGAGCGGGGAGGGCGAGGCTCTACCTCCCTGGCTGTGCCCCTTGCTGTGGCTGTGAGGTTGCTCTCTGACAAGCATGGTGAACCCTTTCTGAAGTGGCCGGATCTAGAGGGCCACTCTGTAACGGAGTTTCTAAGCACAGCTCTTCAAAATCCACGGCAACAAACTGACCGCCAAACTCCTGTTCCCTCGACAGAGTCACTCAGGGCAGGTGCACCGACAGCAAACACGAACGGGGCAGAAACCCACCAGTGCGAGCTGTGGCACTTGGTCTGTCGCTCCGAGACCCAGTTGGTGCTGTCGTTTACACCATATCACATAGACTGTTGCGCTGGAAGGACCAGTGATAGGAACATTCCTGCCTGAAAGTTACATGAAGACACAGCGTCACATGAAGGGGTCTGTTTGGGTGGCGTGATACAAAGCAGTCACCATAAAGACATCTTCAAGCAAGACATTTGTTAGCAGGACTAAGGATTTGGGACTTAACCGTTGACCGAAGGGTCGGGAATCCTCTGCCCCAGGAGGCTCTGGCTTGCGCTAGGAGAGCAGGACGAGCCCATTTTATTTGATGCATGGAACAGGGCTGGAGGGGCTGGGAAATGCATCATAATACAATGGGTGCTCCCGGAGCTGTTAGCGGTAGATGGAAAAGGAATCTGGCTCTTGTCCCCGAGCCCCTGAAGCCAACGGCAGAGAGTCCCACAGACAGCCACAGATGATGTTGACAAACTTCAGAAGGAAGGGGTTGGGGGGCACAGCAGCGCCCCCCGGGCGGTCAGGATAAAAGGCCTTGGAACGCCTGCAGAGGTGGCCCATTTTCCAGACATGCTGTGATCAACATACAATGACACGCGGGTCTCGTTCTCCCCGGCGCCTGCTGCTCCACGCCTGGCAGTTGGGACGCTTCTGCCCGTGGCCCAGTGCCACCTCGAAGGGGAGAAGGGGTAGCCCCCCGTCCTGCCGGCGCTTGGCCTCTGTCCCCACCGGGTGTGTCGGTGTCTCATGACAGCCTTGGGCCGAGCGTGACTCCTGGAGGGGCTGGGGAGCTGGGGACCATTGCCTGGGTCCCACAGCCCCGGGCCTGGCAGTCACCAGGATGGGGAGCCAGAGCTGCAAGGAGAGCCTGGCCTGACTGGTTCCTCGGAACCACTTTTGGGGTTCTGTTTGTGCCTTGATGTTTTCCCCCCATTCTGACAGAGCACATACTTTTAAAAAATTCTAATTATATGTTTCGCTCGTGGTGCATAATTACTTATCAAGTAAATATATAATTATGGAGTACTTTGAATTAATATTATTTACTGATTGAGTTAATGATTCTGGAGCTGTTAGCCTATTGTGCTGAGAATAATGTAGCCAACTTTTAGCTGAGAATCAGTGCAGATGCTGACATTTGGATGGTGGCCGAGTAGCACACTGTTTTTAAAACCTTTAAAATATTGCCTGGGAAAGCAGATTTCCCGTACATTCACTTTGTTGTAATCTAAAAACCCCAGCAAGTAGATTCACCTGTTTCTTCTTCAAGATGATGAACAGGTAGACAAATTTTATTGTAAAAAGACATTGCCAAATCAGGTCCATTCCTTTATTCTTTTTTTTGAATAGGGTCTCGCTGTGTAGTCCAAGCTGGCCTTGAGCTCACTGTGTAGCCTGGGCTGGCCTCCAACTTGCGGTGATCCTCCTGCCTCAGCTTTCCTTCATTCTTTGGCTCATTCAGACACTCAGCAAACACCTGCAGAGCTCTTGTCATATGCATGAAAAGTGGGCACTGAGGTTCCAAGACTGAAGAAGTTATTGTCTCTCTCTCCTGGAACTTCGTTGCAATTCAGGGAGATAGAAACCACCCACTCAATGCAGCTTGACTGTAAGCCAGTGCCTCTGTACATGTGCCGGACTACTTAATTCTCACAACCACCTTGTAATACTTGCTGTACTTTACACTCAAGAAATCCGAGGCCTGGAGAAGATAGTATAAGTGGTGATTCCAACGTGAAAACCCGGCCTGTGGCCTGAAGCTTGTTGCTCTACAGATTATAAAAGATGAAAGTGGGTAAGGAGATGGGTACAAAGATGATGAAGGGTTTCTGTCTACGGATGTTTGCGACAAGAGGACCCTTGAAGCGGGGCTTTGGAGGGTTAGTAAAAGTTTACCGGGTGTATGAGTCAGCTTCCTGGCACCCCCAGCTAGAGAAGGAGCCGTTTATTTTGACTCGTGGTTTCAGAAGGTTTATTCCGTTCGCAGAAATGTCAGGGCGGAGCAAGGCTGTTTAGTTCCTGGCAGCTGGGACCCAGCGCAGGGGCGAGCTGGGCGGGACCTGCCCTCCCCCAGGCACGAGGGTTCCTGCCGCAGTCCTGGCAGCAGTGCGCTGCGACTCAGCTCCCTCACCGTCCAAGCGACGTCCCCCGTGTCCCTGACTCACCCGCCTGCTGTGCAGCGCAGTGGACCTAGCAGATGCGCTGTCCACGCCGAGGGAGTGTGAGTGTTGGGAAATAAAGCTGTGAGTGGTTCCCCTGTGCGGATCTGGGCCCCTCTATCCAGAGAGCGATCTGCCCAGCAACCTCCACAGCACTCCCCATGTTATCATCATAAGAGCAGACATAAAATTAGGGGTAGTGCAGGATTTCTGGGATAACCCTAGAGGTAAGCACCTAGTGGGCAGGTAAAAACATTTTACATAATTAAATTCTGTGTCATATAAAATAGAAAAAAATCAAATATGGGGTAAAAATGGTTTAGTTTAATTTAAAATATTTTTCTAAATGTATTTTTATACTTTTACTGAAACAAGATTAATGAAAGAAATGACCATATTAACTGCCTTTTCCTCCTGCACAGAGACCCTGTCCCCAGCTCTTCTCGGCCCTAAGGAAGGCAAAGGAGTTTCGCTTCCAGGAGACCCGCGTGATGGCAGGAAGTTGCTGGAGGGATTCACGTGCTTTTGCTGTGTCCCCTTAGGTCTCAGAGTGCAGCTGGCCCCTCAGGCAGGCCCCCAGCCTGCACAACCTCTTCGCCGTGTGTCGGAATATGTACAACTGGCTGCTGCAGAACCCCAAAAACGTCTGTGTGGTCCACTGCTTGGTGAGTGGTGGAGTTCTCAGGGTTAGGGCTGGGTTAAGTACAGGGGGCTCCGTGAGGGCGGGGGGGGGGGC